GGTCTGTGCCTTCGTGAAGAAGTCCGCTAGCTGTAACTCGGAAGGCACATACTGAAGAGCAACAACATGATCCTGCACAGCAGCGCGCACATAATAAGCATCAACACCAATATGCTTGGTAAGTTCATGCTTCACAGGGTCCCGCGCAATAATGATAGCACCTGTACTGTCGGACAAGAGGGTGGTAGGTGTAGTAACAGAAACACCAAAATCCTCCAGTAGCCATCGTAACCAAGTCACCTCTGCCGTCAGAAGAGCCATAGCTCTCAACTCGGCCTCTGCACTCGAACGAGAAACTGCAATCTGTTTCTTCGTCTTCCAGGCAATGAGAGAACCACCAAGAAAAACACAGTAAGCAGAAAGTGAACGGCGATCCGAAGGATCACTGGCCCACGTAGCATCTGAATAGGCCTGGAGCTGTAAAGAGCTGGAACAAGGAAAAAAGAGACGATGAGAGATCATGCCACGAAGATATCGTAGAACACGAAGAAGGTGACTATAGTGAACTGAAGTGGGAGCGGAAACAAACTGGCTCAGAATATGGACAGGATAGGAGATATCCGGACGAATGACAGCAAGATAGACAAGACTCCCAACAAGATGACGATAACGCGTCGGATCAGACAAGAGCTAAGCATCAGAAGCACGAAGGTTAACATTGAGCTCCATAGGAGTCTCAGCAGTGCGCTCGTCACTAAGAGCCGCACAAGCAAGAAGATCCTGGATATACTTTTCTTGGGAAATAGAAAAGCCATCAAAGGAGGAGGAAACCTCAATCCCAAGAAAGTAGCGAAGGGGACCAAGATCAGACATAAGAAACTGCTCACTGAGACGGGCCTTGACAAAGGCAATGTACTTAGAATCATCGACAGTGATGATCATGTCATCAACATATAGAAGAAGAAGAGTGTGACCACGAGCAGAAACATGGACAAACAACGCTGGATCATGAGCACTGGGCGAAAAATCAGCTGAAGTGACCACAAAGGCAAAACGCTCAAACCAAGCGCGGGGCGCTTGCTTAAGGCCATATAGAGAGCGACGAAGACGGCAAACCATGCCATCAGGAACTGAATACCCAGGTGGTGGCTGCATATAAACTTCCTCACGCAACTCACCATTAAGAAAGGCATTCTTAACATCAAGCTGAGACGTAGACCAGTGGCGAACAGAGGCCACGGCAAGAAGTGTGCGGACAGTGGTCATATGGGCCACAGGAGCAAAAGTCTCATCATAATCACGACCATGCTCCTGCTGAAAGCCACGAGCCACAAGACGAGCTTTATAACGCTCAAGAGAACCATCAGAGCGAGTCTTAATCTTATAGACCCACTTACAAGTGATGGGACGAACACGGGGGGAAGAGAAACCAGGTCCCATGTGCCGTTGCGCTCAAGGGCAGCAATCTCCTCTGCCATCGCGAACTGCCATTCAGGATGAACAATAGCATCTCGATAAGAAGTCGGCTCAAGAACGGCCGAAAGACCATAACGAGAAGGGGAATATCGGTCAGGGGGCGGACAAGGCCGAGAACGAAGACCATAAGTCTGATGAGAGGAGGGAGACGACACACCAGAAGTAGAGGGCACATCGGTAGACTCATTCACAACACGTGAACGGCGAGTATAATGGAAAGGAAAGGACGGAAGAGGTGGAATCACTGGAGGTGGAGACGGGGAATGTATCGGTGATGAAGGTGGAGAAGGGGAAGCTATCGGCGATGAAGGTGGAGAAGGGGAAGCTATCGGCGATGAAGGTGGAGAATCATGCGACGGTGAGTAGAAGAAACCGTAGGAGAGGACGGCGTCGGATCTGCAACAGCAGGATGAGGAGTAGGAATACTGGGCACAGAGGGAGGTGTATCTAGAAAAGTAAGAAAAGAGATGTCCTCCATAGAAAAAGACGAGGAGGATGGACGCGGGTAGAAGGGACGAGATTCATCAAAGGTCACATACCGGGAAATACGCATCCAGCGACCGACAGGATCCCAACACCGATAGCCCTTATGCTCATCACTATATCCAAGAAAGACACACTCAACAGACTGAGCGGTCAGTTTGGTGCGTTCACGAGGGGCAAGCAAAACATAGCAGACACAACCGAACAAACGGAGCGCCAAATAATCAGGAGAACGACCAGAAAGACGCTCGAGAGGAATACCATTTTGTAGAGCAGCAGATGGCTGAATGTTGATGAGATAGGTGGAAGTAGTAACAGCCTCAGCCCATAAGTGAGGAGGAAGAGAGGCGGCGATCATCATCGCACGCGCCGTCTCAAGAAGGTGACGATGCTTGCGCTCAGCCATGCCATTCTGAGCATGAGCACCAGGACAAGAGAACTGAGCAAGAGTACCCTGCTCAGCAAGAAATCCTCGCAACGCATGGGAGATATACTCACCAGCTGAATCTGCACGAAAAACACGAATAGGAGTGGAAAACTGGGTATGAACCATGGCAGCAAATTTTTTGTATATAGATAAGACCTCACTACGAGAAGGCATGAAATAGATCCAAGTGTACCGAGAAAAGTCATCTATAAAGATAATATAATAGCGATGACCCCCTTTCGAAGCGAAGGGAGCCGGACCCCAAACATCAGAGTGAACGAGATCAAAAGGACGCTCAGACACTGACTCACTGTGAGGATAGGGTAGCTGAATCTGCTTACCAAGCCGACAACCCATACAATCCAACGAAGCGTTACCAGAGACAGACCCCAGAACACCACGATGAACCAGAGACGAGAGACGAGAACCACATAAATGGCCAAGACGATGATGCCACTGCTGAAAAGAGCTGGTAGATGCAACAACAGGGGTTGCGAGACTGGCAGAGGTGGCAGCGGAGGGAAGACGAAGCCAGTCAAGCTCCCAGAGACCATCAGAACGTCGAGGGCCAGCACCAAGTAGAGCGCCCGTGCGACGATCCTGAACAGAACATGAATCAAAGTCTAGAATGACCCTACAACTAGAGTCAACAATCTGACCACCAGATATGAGCTGCATGGTAAGTCAAGGAACACGAGCAACAGAGGGAACATGAAATGAAGAAGTGCTAAGAGTGCCTCGACGAGCTACAGGGAGGGGAGTGCCATCAGCCGTAAGAACACGAACAGGAGACTCGACAGGTCGAACGGAGGTCAAAGTTGAAGAATCATAAGTCATACGAAAAGACGCTCCAGTATCAAGAATCCATGGGGATGTACCTGAATGAGTAGGAAGTGGTTTCTCAATGCCGGAAGAGTCAGTCACAGAACTTGCAGAAACTGTCGGTGAAGAATCCCAAGCATCAAGCAGGCATCGCAGCTGTGCAATCTCACATGCAGACAAGGACAGGACAGAAGAGGTCGAGGTAGAAGCATCTGCCGACGATGAACAGTCGCCACCACCCATGGAAGCCGAAGGTAGAGTCAACATAGAGCCACATGTGGAAGCCACATGGGGAGTCGACATAGAGCGGTCACCGCCGTGCGCACAAGCCGCAATAGGAGTCGATGTAGAGCGATTAGCAGCATCGATGGATGTCGCAATAGGTGTCGAAGTAGAGCGACAGCCACCACCTCCAAGTGGGCGAGCACCAAGCACCGAGGAACGGCTCATGTGCGAGACGGGATCAATATATGGAACACCGCCAAAAAACATCGAGCGGTGAGGGAGAGGTGTACCAGATGAAAACATTGCACTCTTTCTTTTTTTTTCTTTTTTTTTCTTTTTTTTGTCTCTCTCTCTCTCTTTTAGAAGTCAGCAGGAGAGCCAAGAGCCGAAAGAATTGGCAAACCACTCACAGCGGCCCACCAGGAGCCCAAGCAACCAGCGCCTGCGGAATCGCAGGAATCGATCTGATCTGAACGGGAACTGAAAGTGCGGCAGTTTCACACACGCACACGACCACGCGAGCGCACGCGGATGCCAACTGCACGGAGAGACCGGGGCCAAACGGGCGGCCGGCGGCGACAGGCGGGAGGGGCCGGCGGCGACGGGCAGACTGGGCCGGAGTCGGACGGCGACGGGCAGACGGGGCCGGAGGAGCAGCCGGGCGGCGACGGGAAGACGAGGCCGGAGGAGCAGCGCCCGATGGGCTGCGAGCGGCAGCCGAAGGAGCGCCGGGCGACAGCCTGAAGTTCACCGGCGGCGGTGGAGAACCTCCTCCGTGGCGGCCAGGCCGGCGTGAACCAGTTGGAGGAGCCGGAAGGTGCAAGATGCACGGGAGCGGCGTTTAGCCACGCTCTAGAGTGGAGACAACAACAATCTGATGGAAAGAAATGGCAGCAGCGGAGATGAGGGAGCGGCCATGCCAGGCAAGAGGACGACGGCGACGCGATGGAAGGATCAAGCATGAGTTGCACGTGCGAAAAAATTTGACCTAAGCTCTAATACCATGTCAGGAAATATGCAACTTGTATTACTAGGAGGCCAAAGCCACCATATATATAATGTACATGAGGATGCCAAAAGGCAAGAATACAAAAGGCCAAAGGCCATCATCAATATAACTCTAACACACGCTTGATACATGTCAAACATGGGTGTTATGACCGGCATATTAGGGGCTTAGCCCAGTGGGCTGTGGTCCAAGTTATCTTACCGTTATTAGGGGCTTAGCCCAATTATCTTATCGTTATTAGGGTCGTTTGCTTATGAGTCAAGTAAACCTCTCTATATAAGGAGAGGAGATGTATCAATCTAAGGAAGCAAGAAGCAATCAGTATTTGCTCGGCTTCCCTTAGGGAGCCGGGAGACCTAACCCTAGCCGCCTCTTCTCCACCAGGTAAGGACGGCACCCAGCCGCCGGCCGCCGCGCCCTCGACCTCGTCTTCCTCCATCTTTCCCCTACAATCGCTGTCCTAGAACCGGCAGAACCCTAGCTCCTAACACCTTGGTATCAGGTAGCTCAGTTCCGATCATGTCTTCGCCGCCGCCCATCCCGCCGCTTCCGGTGCCGACCGTCACCACCGCGCTGTGCCCTCCCCGTCCGCGCCGCTGGTCGCATCCTCCGGCGCCGCCACCACCCAGATGACGGCGCCCTCCACCGCACCACCGGACGCTGTCTACTCCCCGGCGGAGATCACCGGGGTCCTCAACGATCTCGTCACCGCCGTCCAGGGGATACGGCTATACCTAGCCGGCCCATACGGGCCGCCAGCCGCCCTGCCGTGGTATTCGGCACCCGCGGCGCCGACCGGGCCTCTACACCACCACTAGCCGCTTCAGCCGCCGCCCGCCGCCGCGCCCCAATGGCCGCAGTGGCCGGCGCCGGCCCTCGCCGCGTCACCCACGCCACCCGGGTCCTCGCCGCCACCGCACCACGGGGCCACTGCGACGCTGGTCGGGCCGCTGCAGCCCTCGCTGCAGCTACAGCCAGCCCCCGCCACCGCCTCGATCTGGCCACAATGGCCGGCCACGGCCATCGCCGCACCCGCCTCCTCCGCCGTTTCCAGGCAGCAGCAGCTGCCGCTGCCGGCGCCTCCGCCGCCAAGCACCAGGCTGACTACAACCGCGCCGGCGGGCGTGCCGATTCGGCAAGTGCGGTTCCCGCCCTCGCCGTCCCAGCTTCCGGCCTGGTTGGCCGGGACGTCACCGCCGCCAGTCTACACCATGGTCGCGACCAGCCGCCGCCCTCCCTGCCGTAGGACGGGCCCTCCGGCTCCGCGGGTTTCCACGCTGGCTTCAACGGGCCACCGCTTTCCTACGACCACCCGTGCACACCGGACCAACGCCATCCTCTTTGCTGCTCCGTACCCCCGAGTCGTACACTCACGACGGTCATGCTCAGACACCGCCGCGCTTCGCCAAGCTCGCCTTCGCCACCTACGACAGTGCCGAGGACCCCCTCAACTGGCTCAACCAGTGCAAGCAGTTCTTCCGGGGGCAACGGACGCTCGTGTCGAACCACACCTAGCTCGCCTCTTATCACCTCCGCGGCACCGCACAGACGTGGTACTACGCCCTCGAGCAGGACGAGGGCGGCATGCCCCCATGGGAGCGTTTTCGCGAGTTCTGCCTCCTTCGATTCGGACTACCGATACGTGGGAGCCGGCTGGCGGAGTTGGGCCGCCTTCCCTTCACCTCTACAGTGCAGGACTACACCGACCACTTTCAGGCCCTGGCGTGCCACGCGTCCGGCATGACGGCTCACAGCGGGCCGAACTCTTCGTTGGCGGTCTGCCAGATCATATCCGCGTGGACATCGAGCTGCAGGGACCCCAGGACCTCCAGACGGCCATGTACTATGCCCGCGCGTTCGAGCACCGCGCGGTGGCCATCCAGCAGGCATCACCGTCCCGGGCCGCCGGGCCGCCACCCTGGCTAGATGTTCCCGCGCAAGGTCGGCATGCTCAAGCTTCCGCGGCACCCCTTGCCGCTACCGCGGCGCGCCCGTTCCGCCGGCTCACCTCGGCCGAGGTACTCGAGCGTCGCCGCCAAGGGTTGTGCTTCAACTGCGACGAGACCTACATGCCCGGCCACGTCTGCCCCCGACTATTCTACCTTGAGGCTGCAGACTACATTGAGGAGGACGCCGTTGCCGCCGGGCTCGACGACCTGGCCGCCCCAGCTGTCGCGGAGGTGTTTGACGCTGGTTGATCACCTCGAGGAGTTCAGCAAGCGCTTCCCCGCCTTACAACTCGAGGACGAGCTGTTTGTGCAGGCGGAGAGAAGTGTTATGACCGGCATATTAGGGGCTTAGCCCAGTGGGCTGTGGCCCAAGTTATCTTACCGTTATTAGGGGCTTAGCCCAATTATCTTATCGTTATTAGGGTCGTTTGCTTACGAGTCAAGTAAACCTCTCTATATAAAGAGAGGAGATGTATCAATCTAAGGAAGCAAGAAGCAATCAGTATTTGCTCAGCTTCCCTTAGGGAGCCGGGAGACCTAACCCTAGCCGCCTCTTGCGCCGCCGCCGCCTCTTCTCCACCACGCAAGGACGGCACTGAGCCGCCGGCCGCCGCGCCCTCGACCTCGTCTTCCTCCATCTTTCCCCTACAATCTCCGCCCTAGAACCGGCAGAACCCTAGCTCCTCAGGCCACTGAGCAGAAATATGTGAACAGTGGAGGGGCAAAGTTGAGGTTCAAATGGGTTAGTCTCAAGTGTATATATCATCCTACTAATGTTGGATCAACATGCAAGTATGTTAGTGGGTATATCATCGGGAGTCAGGCAGTGAAGGGAACATTTTCTTCCCCCAAAATAGCAATATGACCTTGCTTCTCATGTTCCATTCGATAAATCTTCTTGTTCTAATATTGACGCATCCATTGCCATACAATTCATGAAGACTGGCACATTAAGTATATAACGGTGGAGAGTTGTAGGTAAGAAGGAAATCATCGATCCTCTGCTACCGATAGAGACTTAAGCACATAGTCAAAGTGGCAGTAAACAACAACCCAAATCTTCAAGTTTCTGCTAAATTGCAAGTTTTTTACTGGAGGCAGATGGCAACGATGCCACCAAACACATATTTCAAGCACTATGAATCTACTTTGGACTTAGGCTTGAAAGAATCAATAAGCTTATTACAGCTAGGCAACAAACAAAATCACTGAATTAGCGATCATGGGTGTGGCGTAAATCAGCGGTCTGGAGAGCTAACCTGATTGCTCCTCCGCTCGTCTTTGCAGCCCACAAGAAGCAGGTCTGGCGAAGGACATTGGGTCGCGCCAGCGTGGAGCCGTGGCGGCCACCTCCAGCGCAGAGGCCTCCTGCTGGCGGTCGTGGCGCGCAGAGAGGTGCACCGTGCCGCAGAAGCATGGTCTGGTGAGCCGGGGCTATGCGCTCAGGACGGAGTGGAAGAGAGCGGTGGGAGGGGAGGGATATGAGGAGGAGTAGTGCAACAGATGGCAGGACGGTGCTGGTTGCAGGGCTGACGGCCCGGCGAGGACTGGACCGACACAGAGGATGTTGAGGGAGGGGGAGGGACGACGGCAGACCAGATCAAGAGCGTAAGAACAGCAGAGTGTGGCTGAGACTATGAGCAGAAAATTGCCTGTGTACCATTAAAACTTCGGTCAAACTCCAAAATACCATTATAAACTTTAGTGTTGCCAGAATGTATTTTGAAAGTTTCATAGCCAAAATGTACTAACAGAAATTAACTGGAGAAGGAAAAGACCATTCAACGCTTACCTCTTCACACCAGGAGCTCCTTGTAGCTTCATCTCCTTCGAAACACACAATCAGTACAAATTTCAGCAGCATAAATGAGTAAAAATACGACAGAACATCTATTTCTACATGAAATGTATCCTTCGAATAAACTCTACAAGACAGAACAGACTCCTACCGTATCAATCGAAGCACACAGAAATTACAGAACAGAAAGTAGAGATAACTAAAGACCTTTACTTTGATGAGATTCTTCCACGTTCGCCATGTATGAAGCAGCAGCTAGGATGTGCTGTTGGAAAGAACCAGCCGGTGGTAGAAGAGGGGGACCGACGAGGGATGGACAGCTCCTGCGTCTGGACGGCCGAGCAGAGGGAGTGGGGGCGGGGTAGGGCGCCAGCTCACCCTGCTACAAGGACAGGGAGCGCGCCGCCTCGTCTACCCGCTGGAGACGCGCTGGCCTCGTCCGTGCTCTCCAATGGCGAGTCAAGCCTATGGGCGGAGTGAGAGTGGGGTGGCCCGCCGGCCAGAGGAAACGAGGGGCGGGCTGGAAGGCGGTGGCGCGCCGGCCGGAGAGAGTAGTGGGGTGGAGGATGGTGGCTACGGGATGGGGAAAGGAGGAGGAGATAGGGTTTGTGAGAAGGGTAATTTTGCGATTTTGAGAAAACTGACATGTGGGTAGATCGTCGATTAGACCCAACTTTAGAAAACTGCGTTTTTTAACTATTTTATTAATATAAAGTTCATTTATCGAGTGAGACGCAAAACCTTGAATTTGATTATAAATAGTACTGACTCCCTCAGTTAATAAATATAAGATGATTTGATATTTCAATATAGACCAAATACGGACTGGAATGAGTGAAAAACACACTAAACATGTCAATATACATTTGGTCAGGAAAAAAGTTGAAATATCTTATACTAGTTTGTAAATCGAAGGAGTACCAAACTAAGATTTATTAAGAATAATATAGAGTCTATTGAATATCCATCTCTGAGTCCGGACTCATCTACACCAGGTCAAGAAATAATTCACAAAAAATTCTAAAAATCCAAATTTATTTTTTGCTTGGTAGATAATTTGATGCGTGAGGTGTGTTACAAATTTCAGATCATTTGAATATATCAGTAGCTTTCAGAAAAAGACAAATTGGGTGAGAAGAGTACAGTAAACATTTTTACATATCTTAGTTTGTCTTTTTTTGTCGAGAGCTACCCAGATGTCCAAATGTTCTGAAATTTGAAGTGGACCTCACGCATCAAAGTATCAACCATGCAAAGAAAACTGAAATTTTTTGAACTTTTTTACTACTTGTTTTGATTTTATTTTCTTTCATCGCAGGTGCAAACGAGTCTGGGCACCGAATCATTGCTCTAGTGTGTCTATAATATATTGTGAATTAGGATATCGGGCATTGCTCACAGTTGGACATGCATTTTCTTTCTTACTCAAACCATGAATTGAATTTTGATTTGAAAGTTAATGATACCAGTCCGTACAGGAACGAATTCACATGTGGGCTCGAGAGATGGCGTCCCAACGGTCTTCTTGCTCTCGTGCATCCACCACCACCGCCGGCCCAATCCACGGTCGCCGCGGCACCCAACCACAGCCTCGCCCGCCGGTCGCTCACTCCGAGGTCCGGCAGCCAGATAACGCCCCAAGACGAAATGGAGTTGGTGCGGCTGCTACATCCCACACTGTCCTTGACGCGCCGCTTCCGGGTCGGTCTCGTCCCGCCTCGGCCGATCTGGAGCCAGACAACAGCGGCTGGGTCGAGGTGCGTCATCGTTGTCGTCAGCGCCGTCATGACGAGGCAGCCTCCGTCAGTCGGCCCGTCCACCCCAAGCTTTGGATTCATTGATGGCCGGTGGGCAGATGCTTTAAGTGCCTCGACTCGGGTCACAATAAAGCGTAGTGCTCTGGGGAGATTCGATGCCATCGTTGCTGGGAATCCGGCCACATCGCCCGTGATTGTCCGCCACGCCCAGACTCGTCGTTTTCCTTCCCACCGCATCGCAGATCCGGCCGCTGCCCGCCCACTCGCGCCTCCATTGTGCTGTCCTCGCGTGCCCCCCTTGCTTCCAACAACACTACGCTCCGTCCAGCCAGATCTCGTCCCAGCTACCCCACCGCCGTCCGCCAGCAGGCACCGCCCCGCCCCCTCCCCCCCACCCCGCCGCCCGCCGCCTCCAGTCACGATGGCACACTACCCCCCTCTTGCTCGCGACCGCTTTCCAGGGGAGATCCTGACCCACGGTGAGCCGGATCTGATGCCGGGACGGAAGGGGCAGGCTCATCTCGCGCACAACTGGTATGGAGGAGCTGGAGGCGGACTTCCGCAACCGCGCACTGCTTGCCACGGTGGGGGAAGGCGGCCTGCGGTCTCGCCCGAGGCCTTGGTCCAGTCCCTGGCTCGAATCTGCGGGGTGGAAAGGCGGCATGTCAGGGTCGAGGTCACCCACCCCGCCGATTTCTTCATCACGTTCGCCTCCAACGCGGATTGTGACAGGGTGTTCTCCTTCTCTGGCAAGCTGCGCTACGCGGGGGCACCCATTGCCTTCCGGCAATGGCACAGGAGTGCGCTTGCATCGAGCGGCAAGCTTGGTTTCTTCTGCAAGCTCGGGATCGAGGCTTTGCCGGCGAGCGCCTGGGAATGCGGGGCCATCAGCCAGCTCATCAACAACCTAAACGGGCAGCTCGTTGAGATATTACCTCCGAAGGACCGTTGGCAGCTGGAGGTCACTGCATGGATGCGCAAACCGTGGGGCATCCCGAAGATTTATGATCTGGAGGTGCCGGAGCCGGTTGGCCTGATGGATTCGTTCGAAGAGGAACTCCCAATGTCACCACCTCTCCCTGCCCCGCCTACTGAGAGGGCAACTCTGCTTCACCCGCTCACCATTCACGTCCTGGATGTGGTGGATCACACCGTACCGTACCTCCAGTTCGACCCCAACTTCAAACCTGACGACAACGAGGATGTCACGAGGAGGCATGACTACTCCCGGTGCTGCTACAGAGGGAGGATCGATGGCACCGGCAGGGGGAATGTGCCCAACTCGGGCGGTCACCCTTTTGGAGGCCCGAGAGGATATGGCATGGCGGGGACTGGGGTGGCGGCCTGATACATCTCCAACGTATCTATAATTTTTTGATTGTTTCATGCTATTATATTATCTATTTTGGATGTTTATGGGCTTTACTAAACACTTTTATATTATTTTTCGGACTAACCTATTAACCAGAGGCCCAACCAAAATTGTTGTTTTCTTGCCTATTTCAGTGTTTTGAAGAAAAGGAATATCAGACGGAGTCCAAACGGAATGAAACCTTCGGGAGAGTTATTTTTTGAACGGAAGCAATCCAGGGGACTTGGAGTAGACGTCAGGTAAGCTTCAAGAAAGCCACGAGGCAGGGAGGCGCGCCCACCCTCGTGGGCCCCTCGTGGCTCCCCTGGCCGACTTCTTTCGCCTATATATGTCCATATACCCTAAAAACATCAGAGGACAGAATAGACCGGGAGTTCCACCGCCAGAAGCCTCCGTAGCCACCGAAAACCAATCTAGACCCGTTCCGGAACCCTGCCGGAGGGGGAAATCCCGCTCCGATGGCCATCTTCATCATCCCGGTGCCCTCCATGACGAGTAGGGAGTAGTTCACCCTCGGGGATGAGGGTATGTACCAGTAGCTATGTGTTTGACCTCTCTCTCTCGTGTTCTTGATCCGGCACGATCTTGATGTATCGTGAGCTTTGCTATTATAGTTGGATCTTATAATGTTTTTCCCCTCTACTCTCTTGTAATGGATTGAGTTTTACCTTTGAAGTTATCTTATCGGGTTGAGTCTTTAAGGATTTGAGAACACTTGATGTATGTCTTGCATGTGCTTATCTGTGGTGACAATGGGATATCACGTGATCCACTTGATGTATGTTTTGGGGATCAACTTGCGAGTTCCGTGACCTCGTGAACTTATGCATAGGGGTTGGCACACGTTTTCGTCTTGACTCTCCGATAGAAACTTTGGGGCACTCTTTGAAGTTCTTTGTGTTGGTTGAATAGATGAATCTAAGATTGTGTGATGCATATCGTATAATCATACCCGCGGATACTTGAAGTGACATTGGAGTATCTAGGTGACATTAGGGTTTTGGTTGATGTGTGTCTTAAGGTGTTATTCTAGTACGAACTCTAGGATATATTGAACGGAAAGAATAGCTTCGTGTTATTTTACTACGGACTCTTGAATAGATCGATCAGAAAGGATAACTTTGAGGTGGTTTCGTACCCTACAATAATCTCTTCGTTTGTTCTCCGCTATTAGTGACTTTGGAGTGACTCTTTGTTGCATGTTGAGGGATAGTTATATGATCCAATTACGTTATTATTGTTGAGAGGGCTTGCACTAGTGGAAGTATGAACCCTAGACCTTGTTTCAACACATTGCAATACCGTTTGTGCTCACTTTTGTCATTAGTTACTTTGCTATTTTTATATTTTAAGATTACAAAAACCTATATCTACCATCCATATTGCACTTGTATCAACATCTCTTCGCCGAACTAGTGCACCTATACAATTTACCATTGTATTGAGTGTGTTGGGGACACAAGAGACTCTTTGTTATTTGGTTGCGGGGT